TTTTCAAATGTTCAGTTATAAAATTTGACTGTCTTCGTTTCAGTGATGCTAATTGTATGTGTAATATCTTAAATTAAAATAAATTATTAATTCAAGTAGGTAAACTAGAGGACAAAGAAACGTACCAATATACCAATAGTTAACTGAGCATTATTTGTACGATCCAAACAATCAATACAATTGACACGAAATACGCCTTTTTGCAAACTAAATGGATAATATTGACAGATACTGTCACAAAAACAAGACTATATCCTCGTACTCCTGAACAGATTCGTCCATATACGTAAAACAGCCGTAACGTTGGATCAACTGTTCACATGAATATTGTGGATTTTGAATCAATAAATGGGTAAGCATTTGTTCGGGTGCTAAATTCCGAACAGTTCCACTTTGTTTGTGATATTCAAACCAAATGAAATCTTTTTCTTTTATTTTTGATTGTGATTTGTTTTGTTGATGTGATGATTTTAGCTGTTGACTTTTAACTAATAATGTAAATAGTTTTTTATATTCATCGCCGATCTTTCCTTCATGATTACTGGCTTCAACTAGATTAAGAATAGTTATATCACCATAATGATGATAAAGATTATTGAAATGTCTGCAAGAAATAGAATATTTTTGAGAGTTTATATGTTGAAAAGGCGTTTACCAATCAATTTATCCTTATTAACTATTAAGACAAACAAAACTTACTGAAAAAAAGCCTTGTAACTAAGGGCTTCACTTCTCGAGATCACTATACGATGTGTTCCAACCTAAAATGAAAAGTGTGGTAGGTAGACTTTAATACACGAAAAACAAACACTGAAACAATAAAATTGAATCAAATAAAAATATATAATCTGAGAAAAAATAAGAACACTTAGCTACCAGACGTTTTACTATTGACGCATCAGAAAATATTCACAAATAAAGCTCTAAATCTATTTCCTAACCTTCAGCATAAAACAAAACAAAATTTAACATTCAAAAAAAACATTACTGTACCTGAAATTTAGGCTGATACCAGAAGAGCGGTATAGAACCACGAACAATAACAAATGAAGAATAATGATTTTGTTTCGGGAGTAAAACAACCTTTAAATAGATAAATATGTAAATTAAAAACTTAAAAACAAGGACATAATTGCCACTCACTTGCTCAGTTTCCACAAAATTGGCCACTGCACCATCGTCATTTACGCCACGAACATTAAAACGTGTACCAGCTCGTTCACAGCTCAATCTAAACAGAAATATATGTTTACACACACAAACATTCTCTATTATTAATAAAAACAACTAACCTCGAAATAAGCCATAGTTCCATATCATCAGAGGGATGTTTTTCTATTCCACCACAAATAACTTTTGGTATCCAATAACGAACATCTACTCCAAATTTCAGCAAAGGTAAACATAACCCACGATTCCTGAATGAGAAAAAATACGCTTTTATGTAGGTTTTTGTTATACTTTCTAGTACATACCAATAAAATCTTAAATCCGAATCATGTTCTTGTACCATTCGTTGTGCACACAACGTTAAATCGTATGGTTTAGTGAAATATCGTTTATTATGACCTGATTTTGAATCGGAAAATGCTGAGTAATAAAAGCATCGAACTTGAAATAATTTTCTAATAAACGATGAGAATGAAAGTAGAATAATTAATAATACTAATACTTAACTTACTTAATTCCAGCAACGTAGGATTCATCATCTGGAGTGTCACGCATTGATATTGTTGCTACTTGAGTTATACCTGAAATAAAGAGAAACCATTATTAATTTTGAGAGACAGAAATAGATGATCTAACTAGCTTACGAAAGATATCAGCATCAAATAATTGTCCAATGCGAACGTCTTCAGTAACAAAAATCATAAACGGACGAATTATTTCAGCAGCTAAAAATACACCGACAAAACGTTTTAAAGCAAAACTTTAAAGTAACAGAAATTTATTCACTTTAATAAGTGAAGTACACAACCAAGGGTATCTACAATTCATATGTACTTGAGTCTGATCATATTTATAATTTAAATTTTTCTGAATAATTATTGTTTGTTGTCTAACGAGGGAACCTTTCCAGGTGTCCAACCGCTTTTCTAACGAAATGCGGTAGTTTATAGGTAATCGACCATGCTGATTCCGAATATAATAGCCATTTTTGCCCATAGGCCTTTCCTAACCGGTTTCCGGAAAACTGGTTTTCCAGAAATCTCGAAAAATCCCCAAGAGTTTTTCTAAATAAGTCACGACTGTAGCCCGCGAAATTCTGATTAAAATTTGACATGTGGCAGCTCTACACGACCTTTCTTTGCAAAGTTATAGAATTTACAAGAAATGCCCTAAATGTTTATTGTCACCCCAGAGCTGCAGAAAGAAGGAAAGATGAATTTAGGGCATTTCTTGTGACTTCTATAACTTTGCAAGGAAAGGTCGTGTAGAGCTGGGAGATGTCTCATTTTAATCAGAATTTCGCGGGCTACAGTCGTGATTTATTTAGAAAACCTCTTGGGGACTTTCAAGGTTTCTAGAAAACCAGTTTTCCAGAAACCGGTTAGGAAAGGTCTATGATGAGGGGCAAAACGGCTGTTATATTCGGAATCAGCATGGTCGATTACCTATAAACTTCCGCATTTCGTTAGAATAGCGGTTGGACACCTGGAAAGGTTTCCTCGTAAGCTTTTTCAAATATTTATTTTTATTCATTTCTGCTAGCAGTAAATACTCATTAATTTACTTACTGTTTGTTGCTGTACTGTTCAATACTAATATACCCAAAAATGCTTTTGCTCTTAACAAAAGTGATGGTGTATGTTCGGTATTATGTGTACCTGAAAACAGAAAACAAGTTATTTTAATAAATGATAAAAAGTCAGATGGCGTACGTAGAGCTTGTTGATCAGCATTGTAAAATCGTGTTGCTGCCAATGGTGCCGTTTCAGCTGACAATAGAATATCTTTTAGAAAACTAACTGTAAATGGTAATTTATATAAATGTGTATTATTCTTTTCCTGATGTTTTTGATAGCGAAAATAGAGCACCTCATTTTCGTTATTCTGAGGTTGTAGTAGCTGTACGTAAAATGAACCGTAATTCAATGGTTGTTGGTGTTGATCTAATTGATTCGTTCGAGGTAAAGGTTCAGATTTACGAAATAAGGCAACATCCCACCTTGATATTGAAGCTTTTATCGGTGGAAGGGTTGGACGAGTGGGAACAGTTGGAGTTGCAGTATTAGGAAACATTAATAATTTCAATTAATTAAGCATAATAGAATAAAAAAAAAGTCTCCATCTAAAATATAAAAGCATTCCATGAAGTCCAGTGTTATGAAAATTTTTTAATTCTCAAATATCAAATGGTGTATTTTTGCAACGAAAAGTGTAAAAGATTATAGTTACAATAATCTAGTTAATTCAACAAACCATCATTTAGTAAAGTCAATCCTTCTTTCAGTGATCCGAAGAGGTAAATGAGCCACGCAGTAGCGGATCTGGCACTACGGTGGTCCGGCGTCCCTCGCAAATAGAATTCTAATGCAAGTACACTACCAGACTTCCTTAGAAAAAATATTCTCGGACGATATCGTTCAGAAATCGCCATCCCGCCGGTAGAATTCTGGACCCGTCACTGTATATTAAACATTATTTATTCTGTTTTTGTTGTTCGATTTCGAACATGTTAAATATGTATTATTTTTATTTCTGTAAGTCATAACGGTCAGAAATTTTTTCTTTTGTTCTACCTTGAGAATTCCAAAACAACTCGATTTGTGTAGAATAGATAGATGCAACTTAGACTTTGTATTTCAGCGATCTCTTTACACAGTTATTTAATAACAATCTACAGTGCTTCCAGTTTGTAATTTAAATTAGTTGAATACATCCACGATGATTCCAGTTCTTATTTAACACGCTAGCAACACAATCTCAAAGTATCCTAAGTATAAGTGTAACATTTTTTGTTAGCAAATCTCTTTGATTCTTTACTTTTTCATCATATCTAACGTATAGAAAATTCAGAATGAAGAGAATATATCGAATCAAAATTAGTAGGAGTAAGCTTAGGTCTAAGGCTATGTTTACACTACACTTTTTTCACACTTAAATCTAAGATAAGAAGAAAAACATCCACACTACTAACGTAAATCACAAATTAGTATTTATCTCTTTCAATACTATTTTTCCAATTCTGTATACTATGTAGAAGCAAAGATTCTTTGCTCGTTTTGCACGCGTGAGGTTAATCATTCGTTATTCTTGATTCGAACAGGTATAAAACTGGACTAATAATAATTTTTAAAAACATTCTGAAACTCAGCGTTCGATTAGAGTAATCATGTACATCGATTCAATAACAAAGAAGCAATTAAATCAAGTTCTTTGACAGTCTTAATATGTCCACAAAATGAAGTTGAATTTTACAGTGATTTATTCATTTACTGATTTATAGTTACCAATCAGAAGCCTGTAAAGATTCACTACAGATTCTGTTCTATTTCTTACCTATAGTACTTATGCTATAGCTCATAAACCTTTATGAATAAATAGGTATTAGTCAAGCACGCTACTGATCCGGAAAATATTATGTTTGTCTTCTAGGATATACGTGATCATATAGTTAGTCTATGCCTCTATTATACATATTTGTAAAAATGGCCGAATTTGACCAATGGAACAAAATTTAAACCACATTCATGGATACATTTTATTAATGGTAACCGAAAAACAGAAACTTATTGTGATCGTCTGTAGTGTTGTCAACTACTCACATAAATAATCTTTTATACATAAAGAATAATATATTTTATCAATCAGAGAAGGGCAAGAGATTCGAGTTAAACGAATTAGGTAAGTGTTTATCAAGTTACTTGGATGGAAAGAAGTTTTTTTTTAATTATTATTTATTTACTTTAGAATGTCTTCAAATGTACAGTGCTATAATTGTGATAGGAAGGATAGTCCAATAAAAAAATTGTCGTGCAATCACACAATGTGTGAGTATGATAATCTCCACTATTGTAAAATACAGTGGGTATTTTTTGGGCATTTGATTTTTTCTTGATTAAAAACAGTCGTTTTTAGTTGAGTTTATCTCCTCACTAGCGTCCTGCATTAGATAGACATGTCGTAGGGCATGAACAGGTTTTTTTTAATTTGTATATGAACACAGATAGACATGAACAAACTGAAAAACTTTTATATTTTTTTTAAAGCAACAATTCGGTTGAACGCTAGTGATAAGATATTTGGTCGTAAGAAAGAAAAGAACAAACAAACAACCAGAATAGAGTCTATATCTTTTTTCTTCTTTTCTGTTTCTCTCGGCACATGTTTTCACTGCATTTAAAAAAGAAAAACGTGTTTATCTCGGTGTTCTATATATATACATATAGTCTACTGTTATTCTTACTTCGTTCAAATCCTCTGTTACATTATATAAAAACGTGTACATTCCATGGACAAAATGAGAAACATGGACAGAAAAAAAGTGTCCATGCAGGCTTCTACTCCGCACGTCTTGAAATATATCTACTTTAACGAAAAGGAAAAACATTTTAAAAGAAAAGCGTTTAGTTAAAATAGACTGAGCAAAAGTTCTACCTGATCTTTTGACTTCACAATTTTTTCTTATTAAATTTTTCTTTATACATCATTTGATCCAGTTCAATGAAGTTGGTTTTGTATGTTATTTGCTTTAATTAAAAATACTTTTAAATTGCAGAAAAACAATTTTTGTGTAGAAAAATATCAACCACTTTTGAAAAGGCTATTGTATGGCCAGTAGTGTATACATTTTTGTGCTAATGTCGTTCATGCTGTATACATAAAAGAATATTTGCGTAAAATCGCAACTCAATGAAAAGACAGAAAAAAAGTGAAATTTCATTATACTGAAAGGATAATTTTCGGAAACTTATTTAGCTTAAAAAATCATTGCTTCATATTTCAAATCAAACAAAATATTTATTTCGTTATTATTATTGTTTTTAGTGTAAATATTAATTAAGTTGCCTAAAAATATTCATTTCATGATTCATCTTGATTTTTAGGTGAATTTTTCAGCTTGAATTTTCCCATTGTTCTAATAGAAATAATGATCGTTATTCTACCAAACGATTATCAACACATCTAAACTTATCTGCTTGAATATCCATTGTGTCAAACCAATGCAATACATTAAGTCTTATTCACGAGCTATAGAAATATGTGAACTCAAAAGTTTTTCTTTCCCTACGTTAAGGATTCCACTTTGCTTTTGTTTTTCTGCAGATTCAAAATTATGAATCATTTGTATCACTCTTTGGAGTTTTACTTGACTAAAGAAAAGTTGCGTCATTTATGACATCATTATTTGTAATTCTGGTACATCGTTTAAAAAATAAGTGTATAGAATCAAGCATTTGTGCAAGAATTAATTTCGGTCTAAATAAAAAATGCTGGAGGCACTTGAGCAGATTTATTTTTGAGTTATTAATACTTCTTAAACGCTTAAGGTGAACGTTGTTATTCATCAGCCCGTGCACTTCCCGATGGTTCTCAGCTAGTAAAATGTAAGTGTGGTATGGAAGATTATTCTCAATACCATCAACGTCAAAATGTAAGTGTTAACCTGAAATGTATAACACATTAGAAATGGGTTTCAGCCTCTTTAGGATCTACAACAACATCAGCTTTATAGACAAAATATACCAGATTCACAACAGATAACCGAAAGTTTTGAATCGGTTCGGTTATCGAACGAAACAGTTTATCCACCTCAATGGCAATTACAAAACATACATTCACAGGGGTGAGATTCTTCCTGAAATTTCTGAAGTTTTTAAATTTTCTAAAACCCTTTTCTTTGAGTAAAGTTGCCAAAAAATTTAGTTGAAGACATTTTTTAAACTAAATCTTTATTTTATATTCCTTCCTTTTTTCATTATTCTTGCTTCTAGTATTGAATTAAATTGAAAATTTTTGGCATAAATATTGAAAGTCAGGATAATAGAAACACGAAAAAAAAATTAAAAAGTTTCGTCTTTTCTCAATCTAAACTATTTTTACCACATATGCCTATATGTTATATCATGTACACACATACTGTTCTCTATACAACACGTTCAGGTCTCATACAAATCTTTGGAGTTGATGAGAAAATGCTGGAGGAAATACGTAGCAGAAACATGGTACCAGAGTTAAGAATACTCCCCACCACTTTGTTCACCTTGTTGCCAGATGCGGAACATACGTTCGATCGAGCTCAAATTTATACCAGAGATAGAAGAGCGAAAAAGAAAATCGACGTATTTTTGAAAAAAAGTTTGATTTTCAGCATTTTTTTCGTATATCTCGAGAAGGAACGTATATTTTTCGAAAAAAATTTTCATTCTGAGATAGGGTCTGGAGTATCTGTGGTAAAAATTTCGACTCTATCGGACCATTTTTTCTTCTTCGCTCTTCTATCTCTGATATAAATTTGAGCTTGATCGGACGTATGTTCCACATTTGGCAACAAGGTGAAAAAAGAGGGGCAAGGGGTACCCTCAATCGATACAAAGTTGTTTATCTCTTCGAAAATCGGTCTTTGCGCTTTTTGAAACTTTTTAGAAAAATTATGAATTTTTTTAATGTTTTTCTGAGAATCCTAATAGGGTTTTTAAATTTTAGAATCTCATCCCAGTATCCATCTCATGATTTCTCTGTATCTTCTCCATCATTACGCGGTCAAATAGCACCACAAAACTTTATGCCACCATTTTATCAATGTAATGCACCTGGTATCATGTTTCCATTTTCCAATACGGATCAAGCTCTAGTACAAGAACCTTCAATACCTATTGTACCATCAACAATTGTTTCAAATCCACATTATAAACGTAAATCTTGCATCAAACAGATATATTCATTCGTTTTTTTTTGATATTTTCTTTAGCTGAAGGGTCAATAATACAGATAGCACAAAATAATGGTATTAGTTATGATAGCGGTGATCATTTAGGGAATAGTGTTAGTCGTGTAAGTAGCATTTATATATGACTAGAAGATTTTTTCCATCTTTGCACACCTATATGACTACTCATATCAATCCAAAATGTTTTTTCTTTTGTAATCTTTCTGTTTTCCTTCTTCATACTTGTAAAATTTTGTCTCCTTGCTGCTAATATTTTCGCATCTTTTGATTTTGTTGTTTTTTTTGTGAAAAAGGGTATTGATGATGATATTTCTGCTCGTTTTCTAACTTGTCGCCTTTAAAATGTTCAGAACTTATAACGCTAATTGATATCGCAGAAAAAGAAGAATTTATGCGCGCACATCTGAATACCTATATATGTTTTATTCTTTATTATATTACCTTTTGTTCATTTCTCTTTCTTGTTTCGGGTTTTCGCCTCTTAAGCATATTATACATTTTTTTTCTCTTTTTATCTTCGGCCTTATTCCTATATTTTATCGGTATTCATGGTTGTACTGAAGTGATCAGATTAGTGTCTTTGCAATTAACCGAAATTGCTAACATTTGCTTTTAGAAGACAAATTCTATTTCAGTTACTTTACGTTTGATTTTTTACTTTCTTGTTTTAGCCGAATGTAATACTTTCTACATCAGAAGTAAATGATGCCGCTCCATCTACAACATCAAAAACTACTACCCCGACAATGACAATAGTTGCTGAAGCAACAGAGTCGACACCTGTGACCGATGATCCGTCATTTGAACCTGTACAGTCCACAGGACTCATTTATAATTTAAAAAATTATCGTTATAATTCTTTTTTATTCGATTTGTATTGTGATTTTGATCCTGTTTGTGGTCAATTTGGTAGTCCAACTGGTATTTGTACGTTGCCGGATGATCGTTTACTAGTGGCTAATTTTGACTGTGATTCTATGCTATTAATCGATATCTCGGGAGTTGTACATGAAATATACAAAAATTTAGTTTCGCCAAAAGCCGTTGTTCATTTTCCATTTGCACCACAAGCAGTTGTTGCCACGCGAAGAGATCTTGTTCTAGTAGATCTAATAGAGAATAAAGAGATCAGGCGGACAAACATAAAAGGATTTTGCCCATGGAACATTCATTTTGTGCCAGAGCAAAACACGTATATAACATGTGATCCAAGCGCAGAACGTTTAGTTTTCTTCAATAAAGATTTAAGTAAGTGAGTTGATTGAATGTTCAAACAGGTATAGAAAAAATGTTCAAAATTTAAGCAGAGCTCAAGAGAGCATCGGATGAAAAAACATCATATCTAATTTTTTTGGCGAAATCTTCGCTAACGAAGTCTAATCAAGTTTATGTATTAGGCTCAACTAAACGCTTTGAATTTAGTTGAAACTGGCAAACTCTCTCTACAACATGTGGAGCAAGAACGAACACAACAACGTCCGAAAGTTTATCCGTATTCTGCCTATTTTCTATCGAATTTAATATTTGTGTTAACTAATCATAAAAATGTATGTTCCATACAGCAATATGATTCTAATTTTACCTTGAAATCGACATATAACTTACCACCATCTGTACAATCCTATTCTTTATTTGTCGATAACGAACAAAAGTGTTTAATAGCGGATACTACCAATCATCGTCTAATATCAGTAGATAAACTTGGTCAACTTGAAGAGCATGAATGTGAATCAATACATCAACCATATTCATTCACATTTTTATCGAATGGCGCAATTTGTATTACAGATCGGACAAACAAGTATGGAACAAATGGCGGAATTGGTATTATATCAACAGAACCAATTTATCAATCGTAGTTATTTATTTATTTTTAACAGAACGAAAGAGATACTTCAGTGAGTGAGGATGATACGTACCAGAGCTTTGTATGGACTGAACTGAAAATTTTTTAAATTCATGGACTCGGACTGGACTGGACTCAAATTTTCAAAACTATGGACTGGTCTGGATTAGAAAAAAATTTTGGATTCATTTGAATCGCGAAAAAATCAGCAAAAGCAGGTTGTTTTTGTATTGTGGACTGGACCGGACTACTTTTTTAGAGTCCATGGACTGAAAAAACTGTTTTTCATGGACTTGGACTGGACTGGACTCAGAATTTTGAGTCCATACGGTGCTCTGATACGTACTTTTCTTTTCTTTTTGTATTAAATGATGTCAGGGGCGCCCCGATACCTCGGAGACAGGGGGGGCAAAGTCAATTTCGGTGAATCAATTTCGGGTGCCCCTGAATGATGTTTTCTCTTTTGTTCTCGCTTTCATTTATTGCGTTGTTCTTTTTTAATCATGTATATGACTAACATCGGTATGAAAAATGATCTAATCTAACTATGGCATTGTTATAAACACAGATTTCTGTGAATGATCAAGTTGAACATAGTTGTACATTTTCATTTTTCTTTTCTGATCTTCTGTCCTTTTGTCCCTTTTTTTCTCATTTTGTTGTTGTTATCAGTGTGAAAGTAATTATTTTGTTTTTGTTTGTGATCGAATAAATGTACATCGTAGATGTTTTTTTATACACATCAGTGAATATTTGTAAAATACGATAATACTTACTAAGAGGCCCGAATTAACTTTGATACAGCGAATGGATAGAGTTTGCCGAGTTGATTACATAAACGTCGAATATGTAGATAGATATTTAATAACGGCCAGACACACCAACAGCTATTATATTCAAAAAAAAAGACATCAATACCCCTCTAATTTTATATTTAGCAAATATCAACGTAATCCAATGTTGATAGTGAAGTAGCGTATAGCTCGTGCCTTAGTTTAACTTAATAGGTTGTTTTGAAAGTTATTTTGTGACAGTGGCGATTTCGATTAGGGGGGAAGGAGGGGAACCTCTCCTTGTTTGAAATGAATTACTCACTTGTGAAAAAAATTACTTGGTTCATAAAAGAACTCGCCCACTCAGAAAAGTTGAAAGTCATTTTCTTTTTTGGTTATCATTAGGAAAAAGGATAAAAAATGAGAAAAAAACGTATTCTGAAAATTTTTTGAAATTGTTCAGTGAAACTTCTCCCCCCCTCCTCTCGCCAAAGTTATACGGAAAACGCTGTTTACTAGTACTCTTGCATAGTGGGCACCTTTCCACACAGCAGATGGACATGTGGCTAACTTAAAAAGTGGTTATTTTTGCTAAATATTACTTTGTTACGTCATAAATATTAATAAAATTTTAAAAAAATCAAATTCGAAAACAAGTTTTTTTGATGAAAACTTTTTTTTCTGAGAAACTAACAAATTATACATCATTCGATGCAAGTTTTCGTGCTAATTCCGAATATGTATATATTATGCGCAAAAAGTGTTTCTAGAATGAGAAAAGTAAATTTTACCTCAAAAACTAAGGGTTTTTCAAAAACCAATTTAGTCTAGCTAAAAATGGGCATTTTTGGGAACTGGCCATAGACTCAGGACCTACAGACGAATATGTTGGTATGGTTTGAAGGTTCCGCGAGCTTAGGAAAATTTAGGAAACGCAACACTTTTTGGGAAAACACTTTGCATATGGAAACTCCTGTATTTTTCCACGGAAGTAACGTTGTCATAGTCACCTTCTATCGATAACTATAGTAATTTTCTAGTTATATTGTAAGTTACAGAGAAACTACAAATGGTTAATCAAATTATAGTCCTAGTCGATATCAATGTATTTGACTTTCTTTTTCAAATTAAGAAAAATGAATCCGTTTTGCCCAATTTTGTTCTTCATCAATATAAATACTTCCTTGAAATTCGATATTTAGCGTTCTATATAGCCCTAACTACTTGACTTTGTTCAGTATTTTGACGAAACAAAGAAATCTTTTACCAAAATGATCTTGAAAAGCACTACAGGACAGGATATGTCAAAATATTTGCTGAGATCTTTGTGTTTTTATGGTTGGCTACTCATGTATAAAAAGTCGGTCGGCATAACTCAAAATGGCTATATTACAGCACTATGCGACATAGTAGATCTTGTAACACAGAGTCTGCTGTACAAAACCCTATATATGGTATTCCTAACACGGTGGTTAAATCTTGCTTAAAACTTGACACAACATTGAAGACCACAATTTTCACAAAAAATGGAAGGCTATTTGCATGTATATCTTCGAAATATCATCTGTCTGAACTGAAAACTGCAGCACAGATCTATTTGAACGGGAGAAATCGAATTATCAACTCTAAATTCTCTAAACGAAACATGTTTCGTGGAAGGCTTATTCTCTCACACACAACCACCCTCGGACATTTCCTTCTGAGCTGCAACATAGTTCACACTACACAGCAACGGCCCATCTTCGTTGAAAAACATTTCATGCAGCTTTACAGATTCTATAAAAAGCTTGTCTTCATTTTCCAAAAGTGCATTGGATTCTCTAGTTTAACTCTCTTACTCACACACAAAAATTGTCCGTACAGATTGTGTCGGATTGTAAATGTCATAAGCAAAGTTTATTCAAAAGTTCAGCCTGTAATCTTAATACAGGCAGTTTGTCCTACACTCAGTGTTCCATAACCCGTGGGACATGGTGTGCAACTACTTGTTCCGCTATAGTAAGCATAACAGTTGATCGAACATAGAAAACACTGCACTTGACCAGACGGTGCATAGGTACCCGGTGAACAAGCTTGAGTGTGTATCAAGTCTGAACATTGATAGCCGGCAGGACATAGAGTACAACTACTTGAGCCGCTATAATAAGCGTAAGAACTATTCGGACATCGAAGACACTGTACTTGTCCGGATGATGAATAGGTGCCGGGTGGACAGACTTGAGCATGTATTAGGTCTGAACACTGGTAGCCGGCAGGACATAGAGTACAACTACTTGAGCCGCTATAACAAGCGTACCATCCATTCGGGCATTGACAACATTGTGCTTGGCCAGTGAAATTAGCATAACTACCAGGTGGACACGGTTGAGTATGTATTAGGTCCGGACATTCATACATTCATACCCACCAAAAGTTTTGTTCTTCAAGGAACAGTTTGTTCTTCAGATTTTTGATAGTTCTTGAAAAACGTGTTCCCTGAAGAACAATTGTCCCCTATAGAGATAAAAAAGCTTGACGAACAAAAGTTTTGTTCTCCAGAAAAATGAAGAATCTTGTTTTACAATTCTTCAGAAAACACCGACGTGATCTCTACAGGGGACAAATGAAGTTTATTTTTGTATTTTTTGAAGAACACAAATTTTTAACAGTGCGGTCTTTAATGAAAAATTTCCGTTTTATGATCGTTACACAAGCAGACAAAAACCGGACATTTAACGTTTATCGTTTAATTCACCCTTTTATTTCGCTGACCTTACTATTATATAGCTCACGTTATTTAATCATAGAAAACGTAGAGTTTTGTTGTTCCTCGGCTATATAACTCATCGAAACTTGTGTTGAGGAATTGTATGGTACCAGTAATGGCACTGATCCTACTTAGTGAATCGAAAATATTCAAAAATTTGAAAAATCATTTATTTCATGGTAGTGGTAAGGAAGAAATTAGTCATGATCAACAGTCGAATCCTTGGCCATAAACAACGAATAATTACGCAAAATGACCATTAAACGGTCACTATTAAAGGCTTGTTTCAGCCTGTTTCTTGGCCGTTAAAAAGATGCCACTTTTAGGCATTAATAAGTGAAAAAAAATTCTGATTAAGCCATTCAAAAGAGCATCGAAAACGGAGTAAAATAAATCTAGTGCGTAAGTTAAGTGACGGAATTTGACCCATCTTTTAATGTTTTGGATCTTAGGGTTATTTTTGAAATATCTTTTCTGTAAAAATTTTTTGGATATCTTTACGTTATTATGTAGTCATGTAGTTACTGTATAGGAGTCTGAACAGAGAAAGTTAGACTTTTCAAGTTCAGAGGGAAAAACGGGTTTCTGAACATTGAAACTGGCTTTTCATCCGTCAAAAACTAACGTCATATTCGTGCTTAGCATAAATAAACTACGTTTAGTGATGTGTCACTCGAAGTTTAGCAAACGTTTTCCTTTTGCAAAAATTTTGCCTGGCAAAAATACCTTTATTTAAAGGTATTTTTGCCAGGCAAAATTTTTCGAAAGAGATTGGAGAATATTTTGGCGTACACCGCTTGTCAATACTTTTTTCATTACCGAGTTATGATTAGAAGAAAAAGCGTACCAATAATTTCTGCCGTCACTGTAAGTGCCAGATCAAATTCAAAGATCGATCAATTCATTTAAATTCATTTGCAACTCTCAACAAAATAGTCCCTGTTAGAACGGGAGCAAACGAGCCTGCAAGGATCAAGCTGAACGCAACATAGAACTTAGTTTGAAGAGCTGATGGTAGAGGAGTGGTTGTTGTAGTTGTAGTTGCACGATTAATGTTTACGAGGTTGTTCCAAGCTCTAGTGACTGTAGCTATTACCCCCAATATGATAAATAATTCAAGGATGTTTACCGTCGCATATAAATACGGCAATGCACGGTAAAACTTCCCGGAACACATTAGAACCCAGTAGATGCTGACTGACTAAAGAAAAGTTTCTTGTTTCATTATTGAGAATTTAACATTTATTCAATTTACCTCTTTTAAAATCCATTAAAAAATTCGCCAGTCGCTCTAAGTAAGAATATGCGTATTTTAGTCTTTCGACAAAGCTTTCTAAGGTCAAAAATTACAAATACAAATAAGATGAAAACCAAGTCGAATTGTGAATCTCAATTTTGGTCGAGGTATATAGCATGGACAATTGCAGTTTAACGCGAGAAATCTGAGGAAAGGACATCGTGTTCTTTCTTTCATGAAACATATACAGCAACAACATTAAGAAAAAAATTCCTACTTCATAGATTATAAAAAGAATTTAATTTTTTGCACAACCATAATTGGTACTTATTTCTTCTTTAAAAGATTTGCATTGAATTCCGAGATTGACACTGAGTTCCTTCAAAAAAGCTGCTCGGGGAAAGCCAGCCTTTCACTATGTCAGATATACTATAGGGACTTTGGATTTTTTGTTAAGTATTCTTAGAAAAAATTAAACATTTCGGAAATTCATTTGAACTAATTTAGGTTTAAACTAATTTCAATTTGTTTCTATCCGAAGCGGGTTCAATTAATTCGCAAAAAAAGTCATTTCAACTGGATTAGTTGAAACTACTTTTCAATTCGAAATTGCTTTGAATTAATTTTTTTCATATTAGTTCAGATGAGTTTGTGACTGAATTGCTTTAAATTAGTTTGAACTTTACAAATTAATTTAAACAAATTCCGAATTCTCAATTAGTTTGCACCTATTCAATATGAGACATTTTTAATTTGGTTGTCAGAAAAATAAATTTTTTCGTGAAAAGATTAGTTAAATTACTTCTGATCTTTTTTCAAAACTTTGAGTCGTCGAGGGTCGATAACACAAACATCTACATCTAAAAGGTACGAACTATCTTTTGGTTTTTCAATGGTGAATTTTCACGAAAAACTCCCTTAATCATAAAAAATGCATATCTTGTGAAATGTTTGGTTTATAAGCTTAAGATTCTCATAGTGTCTAAGAAGTATCTGTCTTCAACAATGCTGAAAGTTTCAAACTTCTAACTGATCAAGGTCCTGTATTAATTAATTATTACTAATGGCATTTTCACTAATTCATTCGTATCTCGGTCAAAAAGGCACATCAGCCCAAAGCCTCTGGAGGTTAATCATATCTTAGTGGTACCTACCTATCCTGGAAAATGTCAGCTCAAACGGCATGCATTACCTAAGAATGTTCTCTCGTGAGTTATAACGATTTCTTTTACCCTACATACAAACTAGTAGGTCGTTTCTTATTTGAACGAAAAGTTTTGAGCTTGAATATTTCTGACCACACCATCTCTCTCTCGTGAAGTTTTATTAGATCTCTTGGTGGACGCAATGTGCTATAATTGAGTTTAATTGGTTTTTTTCGCTGATCTTTAATTGTCATTAGCAAAACGAGAGAGAACTTACATGAAAACGCAGGGATATTTTGCCTGGAACAGTAGAGCCAAATAGAATACAAATATTCGTCCGTTCAAGTACAGGTGGAGAGAAATAATGATAACACCAAAATGAAAAGGAGCGCACAGAAATAAGTATTGGCGTTCTGGTCAATCTCAAACAGTGGCATTTCGCTGAAGAGCTTTCTAGGAAATCTCTTCTACAGGATCTCTAGAGATCTCACAAAAGTTACGGAAAAGCAATAAACTAGAAATTTTCGTTTTTTTTCGAAATTTCGACTATTCTTTCACTATTGGAATATTTTCAATTTTGTTTTTTCAATTTTTGACTTTAGAAGGCTTTGTCGAAAGACTAAAACACGCATATTCTTACCCAGACAGAGTCGCGAATTTTTTAATTAATTTTTAAAGGAGGCCAATTGAAGAAATGTTAAGTTCTCAATATTTTAAAGAATATATAGAAATGATTTTCTTCGTCGAATTACCACTTAATACCATTCAGAGTTGTCCTCTTGTCTATTGGTGTTGTCAGTTTTTTAATTATAATAATAAAGAACTCTAGAAAAAAGTCTTTTTATAATCTATGAAGAGGCTTTCTTTTTTAATAAAGTTTTAAAAGAGGCAAATTGAAGAAGTGTTGTTGTGGTATGATTCTTCATTCCTTGGTTTGTTCTTTCATTGATGTACAGCATGCGAGTCATTAAACATATTTTTACTTAGAAACAGCTACGCTTCATATACAATCAC